TCATTTGAAATAAATACTACAACCATTTCAGAAAACAGTTAGGCAGTACCTACTAAAACTGAATATTTGCGTGCGCTATGACTCAGCATTTCCTCTATTCCAAACTAATCTACAGAAAAGTATACATATTAATATGTGCTTCAAAGACTTGTACAGGAATATTCACAGCTGCATCATTCCTTTTTGTTTATTTGTTTTGAGATGAAGTCTTGCTCTTTTGCCCAGGCTTCAGTGAAGAGGTGTGAGCAATCTCAGCTCACTACAACCTCTACCTCCTGTGTTAAAGCGATTCCACTGCCTCAGCCTCCAGAGTAGCTGGAACTACAGGTGCACACCACCACATCTGGCTAATTTTTTTGTATTTTTAGTAAAGATGGGGTTTCACCATGTTGACCTGGCTGGTTTTTAACTCCTGACCTCAAGTGATCCACCCACCTCAGCCTCCCAAAATGATGGGATTACAAGCATGAGCCACTGTGCCCAGCCAGCATCATTCTTAATAGCCAGAAAACAGAACTACTTAAATGCCCATCATCTACAGAATGGATAAATTGATTTTGGTTTATTCATTTAGTGAAATACTTCACAACAATGAGAAGAAATGAATGACTGCTACACAAAACAACATAGATGACTCTCACAGACACAGTATTGAGAAAAAGAAGGCCGAGTGTGAGAACAGTCTGGGCAACATGGCAGGACCTCATCTCTACTAAAATTTAAAAAGAAATAGCTGGGTGTGATGGCATGTGCCTGTGGTCACAGCTACATGGGAGCCTGAGGTGGAAGGATTGCTTGAGCCCAGGAGTTCGAGGCTGCGGTGAACTATGATTGTATCACTACACTCCAGTTTGGGCAACAAAGTGAGACCCTGTCTCACAATAGATAAAATACAAATAAAAATGAAAGAGTAACCATACAGGAAAGGACAAAAACTATATGATTGCATGCACATAAAATTTTAAAGGCAAATTTATTGTTAACTTTAAGGGGAAGATGGGGAATAGTTAGGGGAACAAGGGGGGCCTCTGGGGTGCTAGTAATGTTTCTTGCTCTGCATGTTGATCCCAGAGATGTGTTCATTTTGTTCATCAAGCTGTACACCTAGTATTTGTGTACTTTTTGTGTTTATAATTCAGTAAAAATTTAGGACCAAAAAAATGCAAGTCAGCTTTAACATTGCCCTGTATTTTATATAACAGAAAATATATCCTATCCTAATCTTGAAATAACTTGCTTGAACAAGCAGGTATCTTCCTCAGAAATGATTCTCATGAAAACTTTTCAGCCTGTTTTGGATAGCATAAATTCCTTGATCTTGAGCCAGGTCAGAAAGATCAGAGTCTATGGTTCCAGGCTGGAGTACAGTAACACAATCTTGGCTTACTGCAACCTCTGCTTCCCAGTTTCAAGTGATTCTCCTGCCTCTCCTGAGTAGCTGGGACTACAGGCATGCACCACCACGCCCAGCTAATTTTTGTATTTTTTTTTTTTAGTAGAGATGGGGTTTCACCATGTTGGCCAGGCTGGTCTCGAACTCCTGACCCCAAGTGATCCGCCCTCCTCTGCCTCCCAAAGTTCTGGGATTACAGGTGTGAGCTCCACTACACCTGGCCACCAGTACTTTTTTAAAAGCTCTTAGGGTGACTCTGATTTGCAGCCAGGTAAGGGACCACTGATATAGAGCCTCATCAGAAATCTCCAGAGAGAAACTGGATAATATTGATAAATGGATTCAGGGCTATGTTTTGGTCATAAAGTACTTTGGCTTGGAGAAAGAATGAAGTTTGCATTGTTTCTAATATAATCTGATTACAGGATTGAAGAACACATAAAAAACAATGATATTAAAACATTTTTCTTTTCCCTTTATTTCTTCAACAATATTTGCCAAGTCCTCCCCTGTGCCAGGTATCAAAACAGAGTTCTTTCCTTACCCCTGTGTGTATATGGATCTATGAGTGCACCTATGGCCCACTCTTATTACTCTGGTAACACTCCAGGTAACTAACTTGAATGCAGAGCGTGATACATACAGTAGCTATTTCAGCTCAGTATTGTCCTCACTAAATCACAGTCGGCCACTTTGGTACATGATGTTCTAACTATAAAGGAAGACTGAAAGAAGCCTAGGCACTGTGTTGAGTGCAATTTTCAAGGAAAGAGCAAGAAATCGAACATTTTAAACCAATAAGTGAAAGCTGGAGGGAGAAAGAAATGTTAAAATATCATCTTATTTTCTTGAAGTATTTTCCATCCAATCTTGTACAGTCAAAATGAGCATTTAAGTGTGAGGAAAAAAACGTTGAAGATCTCAGAGAAGACTAGAGAGTGTCAGGTTTCTTGATTAGAAGAATCTATCATCAAAGGCAAAAGAGAAAAGATGGTAAAGATTTTTCAAAAACACAAAAAACCTCCAAGGGATCACAAATTAGTGGGACAAAATCAAGAAAACAAAAGTAGGTGTTATTCTTGTTCATTTAAACTGTAGTTTTCTCTGTTTCATGTGTGTTTTTTTAAAACCACTTAATTGTATTTGACATTGAAAATCTAATAGGGCCTTTTGTTTTCAACCAGTTTACTAATTGCAAAATATGTCAGGAATCAAAAGGGCAGGAGGTGTTGGTATATTTTTTTAAAATATATAACTCCTTTTTAATTTTTTCCCCTATTTTCCTTATCCATTTAGGCAGTGACTTTCAATTAGCCTGCCTACTAATATCAGGTCACTAAACTCCGTGGCTGACGCTTTATTCCTTCATGTGGGTTGTCACTCGTTTGCTTCAGTTGGCTGGCAAAGGTTGTTGTATATCCATTACCAGCAACACAGCACTTTGCATTTCTGAATTGACAAGCAGCTATATTGACCCAGCGCTTATTATGGGTCAACAGCTGCGTTAACCAACGGAAGGACTGAGGGGCAATTAAAATGAATTGGCAAAAATATATCTTCCTAATTTACTCCAATTTGTTATTTATGCTAACATTGTATGGCTTCTATGGTGACACTAAACAGAATGGACCCAATAATGGCAATTAACATAAAAATATAATGGCTAATCAAATTGACAGCAACTGTTTCTCATCATCTCGACACACAATACATTATCAAAACAAACTATTATGAAGGAGGTAATTTCAGTGTTCTATTCAACCTGCAGCATGTGTGCAGTCAGGGAGATGTGTACCAGCAATTACTGCTGAATCTAAAAAACTAAACAAATAACTTAATCGCTGTCGTCCTCCTTTTTTTTTCCCCCAGGAAGCAGTAATCAGGATTCGCTAAAAATAACTGGTGTATAATAGTATAATGATGATGCATATTGTAGAATAGCTAATAGGAAATAAAATAGACTTCTAGGTGTATACTTTTTAAAATAGGTTCAGGTAAAGAAAGAGAGACTTGTGGAAGGAATGCACACACAAAAGAGACAATAGCCCTGACCGATAAATTGCTCCATGCGGGTTTGTTCCTGCTACCGAATATTTATAGATACTATTTGTAATGGCCAAAGAAGTTTAAAATACACTAAATTTAGTAACACATTTTATAAGGGAATGAGCAGAAAGGTGAAGTGTGCGCTCTAATAACTGAATTTTAGTTACTCCTGCACCAAATTGGGTTGACTATAATTTTTCATCATTAAGACCCAGCTAGGATCCTTGGATCTAATACTTGGGTACCCAAAGAGATTCCCTTTGAAACTAGTGCTGTTTCCATATCCAGTTGTAGATAGTGGTTTTCCTTAATTTCTTACTCACGTGATAGTCTGTGTGCACCACCTGACCTTGCTGCATGGATTGTACAAATGACTTAGCTGTTGTGGTCATTCATTGATAAATTCAACCAACGTTTACAACATGCTTACTGTACGAGTTAGTTGTATGTCCTCAGGGATGCCAGACTTGGCACACAGTGGGTGTTCAGTGTTGGTTAAATTATATGTCATTCCAAGGCAGCAGGACAGAAACTGGTAACACGTTTGTCATTTGAGCTTCTCTTTTGAAAAGTTCTGAGGCCTTAGTTGTTTCACTTTGGTGGACCCCTCAAAGAAAACACCAAAGCTTGAGCTAGTTGTTATCCAGCTCAAGAGTTTCCCGTGTCTAAGCCCATGGGAAGACGGTAAGAAAGTTCCTAGGTCAGTTGATTTAAAATAAATAGAAGTACATTTGAATGTGACTCATCAAATAATTTTCATGTTGGTTATTGAATTGATGGCATGTGTTTTTTTCCCACACAGAGTGAGACACAGTTCTCTAACACACTCTCTAACCTCAGGAACGTTCAAGTTCAGTATATGTTTCCTGAGTGAATAATAGTTCAGATACGCCTCCTATACTTTGTTGAATTAGAACTTGCCAAGGTCATTAAACGAGTGTTTTGACATGGGTGAGATGAAAAACCTTGGTTATTTCTTATCACATGGTACTTCTCAGAGGTCATACATTGCCCACTTAGCATTACCACAGCACAAATGGTCAAGATGTTACTTGAGTCTGTGCTTAATTCACAGAGTTGTATCTGTGAGCCAGTTCCTGGTACAGGCAATGGATTGTCACCACAAATCATAAAACGGGCTCATGGTATAGGAATGTGTGTTAAACAGTTTTCAGAATTTGTTTAACTTCCTGCTAGCTTGGACAGGTCCCAGTTAGGAAGCACATAGCACTTTTCCCAATTAACAGTGCAAATTGTCATGAGTGCATAGGAATTTGCAATTTGACAAAATCAGGTTTTTGACAGCAGGAGTAATCAGTCTGCAGCTTCGCAAGTAGTAATCTATGATCGAAATGGCAGGATTTATTCTAAATTATGAAAGGTATATATGCTATCTAAGAGGGACAAACCATTAGTATGATTCTGCTCTTCTTACCCTTTTTCTTTAAAAAATGCTGCTTGATAGAGGAGTTGAAAGTAGGGGATACACTCTGCTGAGAGTGATCTCCATCACTTCCCCCTTCCCAATAGTAGTATTCATTTATTTTCTGTTATATTACAGTATTCTGACAAGTCCCTGTACACCCAGCTGTGCTTTTACCGGTACATTTTTGATGTGGAGTGTGCACTGGAGAAACTTACTACTGATCATGAGAAAGGTACGTTAAAATACTGTAATTACCTTTGAGTTTAAAGTGGAAATTTGCATCATAAAAGCCAGACCTACTGTGTCAGGCTGTTCACGCAGCATCACATTGCTGTCTCAGAAGCAGGCCGTGGGGGCCTATCTGAACACAGGGATCCCCTGCATGAGGGGCGGCAACATAGGAATCCCCAGCTTTGGCCCCCACAGCCTGTTTCACATTGTTCTCTATTAAAGCAAGGCTTTGGGGGAGGAACAGTACAAAAACGACGCTTTAAATGCTATATTTTGAAAACGCTATTTTCTACAGAGTTTAGTAATTGTAATAAAGTAAGCATAGGCAACGTGATCATTGGGCCTACGAAAACCAGATATTACCACAAAAAAATAGACCTGGAGTGTGTCTCTGCTGTTCGCTGAAAGCCTGGGTTCACTTTGAGAGAGGGATGGGGTGGAGTTCCTTTACTGGCTGCATCCTAAGAGAGTGTATAGGCACCTCAGCCCATACAATCAGGTGTTTCCTTATACAAGACTTGCAGGCACTGTGGGACTTAGTAGGTCTGGGAAAAGCTTTGTTACATAAAGTATTTGAAAATGTATGAATGACAACTGCATGTTTTTTTCTCCTACCTGAAAATCACATTGGCAACTTTTCTATTACCTGTGAAAAATTTAAAAGGCAAATTTATACATTTTTCTTATTAGTTACCTACACAGTGTTTATATTGTTTGTCAGCGAATATCAATTCAGTGTTTCGTTGGTTGGTATTAGTACTGGAAACAACCACAGTGACATAAAAAACCTACAAATATTGCTAGATTTCCCCACATAAGAATCCCCATGCTGCCCTTGATATGGTCACACTGTTTTTCTTTTTTCTTTCTTTTTTTTTTTTTATTGATGAATAGATGTAGTCTATTAATTTTTTTCCCTGTATTTCCTAAATTTTCCATATGGAACTTGTAGTATCTTTATAATAGGAAAAAAATGTTATTTTAAAAAAACACCCCATATACTTTCAAAGTAGACCAAATTCAAACTATTTACACTTACTCATTTTCATCTTCGTTGTCAAAAGAAAGGAGGCTACTGTTTTTTATTTGTTTTTGTGAGTACTTTTTGACTGAGTCCTGATTTATTACATCTTCATGTGGCTTCTTCTTTTTTGAGCTTGCTGTTAAACCTGAACATTTTTCATTTGAGGGATGCTTGACTGGTTTTCGATATAGAATTCTTCCATCAGCTGAAGCTGGTTCTTCATCTGCTCTGGCAGCCTTTATTTCTGCTTTAATTTTCATGACTTCTTCAAGTGATAGGTCTCCCTTTTTCAAAACCACCACTTGAGGCTGTTCATCTTCTTTGTCACTGTGATCCCCATCTTCATCTGGGAGCTGAGGCTGGATTCTCTTGGTCTCTACGGTGGGCCCCTCCCTGTAGCCGACCCGTTCCTTGAAGCGAGCCAGGAACGCTGGTTCGGTTGTCCGCACATAAGATACCTGGTTCCGCTTGCTCATGGTAGCTCCGGGTAAAGACAAGTTCCATGACAGATTCGGTCTCACTGTTTTTCATTCCAGTCATAATTGACTTGTTTTTCCATCCACAAGATTGGCTGGAAATTATTTTTTAAATGCCTTGACTTATTTGGTTTTGCTGTCCTTGGAGAGAAAACATTTTACAACTGATGGAGAAGCTGGTTCAGACATTAGTATCTTATCTTTGGATGTTGAACAAGGACTTGGGCTATCTCCACAGCATGTTTTCCATGAATTAGTAAAATTTATACAGAGAAAAATTTCTTCTGTCTATTAATAACTAGGTTTTAGAATTTTTATTCGTGGCTAACGTCTAGCCCATATATACTTGTAATATCATTTACAGCTGTTTTTCTTTTATCCCCAAGGGACCTTTCCTAAAGACAGTTATGACTTGAGAAAATTAAGTACTGATTATCTGAACGAGTTGTCTGTTTCTATCAGGTCTGTTACCTCTTTCTGGATATCAGTATATTAGAACCTATTCCCCAATTCTTTTTTTTTTTTTTTTTTTAACAGACTCTTGGTCTGTAGCCCAGGCTGGAATGCAGTGGCACGGTCTCAGCTCACTGCAGCCTCCACTTCTTGGGTTGAAGTGATTCTCCTGCCTCAGCCTTCCAAGTAGCTGGGATTATAGGCATGTGCCACCATACCCGGCCAATTCTTGTATTTCTAGTAGAGACGGAGTTTCACCATGTTGGCCAGGTTGGCCCCAAACCCCTGACCTCTAGTGATCTGCCTGTGTTGACCTCACAAAGTGCTGGGATTATAGGTGTGAGCTACTGTGCCTGGCCACCCTGTTACTCCTTTCTGAATCTATCCATCCTAGATTGATTTCTATATGTTATTTGAGGAGAAAGAGTCCTCTTCCTATACAGCTCTAAAATTCTTATCTGAGAAGCAGAATCAGTCTTTTATGATCAGCAGTTTTCAAAAAGTCTGGCAACTCTTGGAGGCATGTAGAGGAGTGATCTGGAAAGTCACTAGGGATTTAGCCCAACCTCTTAGAGGACATTGAGAAATGCACCTTACACCTGCAGAAAATAAGAGGAAATAAGTAGCCGCTCGGAAGCCTCTTGCTTGGCTAAAAGGGAAAAGTATTAACAGGATTTACTGCAGTCCCATTTCACAATTTTAAGAATCAGCACACTTTTTTGTTGTTTGTATCTAATAATATACTACTCAGCAGTTCGGGGCAAAAATGGCACTGAGTTATTGATGGGTTCTTTTACATATCAGAGGGCTAAAGAAAATGAGAAGAGTAAAAAATACATGTGACTGAAAGAACTTCATGAAATGTTCCAAGAGCCTTTTTTGTTTTATTTAGCAAATTTTATCTGTTGAAACTCTTTGTGTTTCTTGCTGTTTATTTATTATTCCTAAATTACAGTTTGGGAATGAGTGAATTAGCTAAAATTTACATGCTCCGGGCATTTTCAAGTCATGCAGTAATGCTAAGTGGTATTAGGGTATTCATAAGAGGTGGGATATAACCCAAAACTTGGGGGCACACTTCGCAATGGTCTAAGAACAGAGGTCTCTTAACACATGACATCTGATAAGCCCTCTCCTAAGAGTCACCTGGGACATATGAAAAGTCCAAATCCTTAGATTCTATGCCCACAGATTCTAATTCAGAAGATGTAGGGGGTAGAGCTTAAGAAGCTACAATTGTTTTGAAAATTCCCCCAGATAATTCTAACGTGCAGCCAAGTTTGAGAACCCCTCTCCTGGCTACTCTAAATACATAGTTGGATGGTTTCTAAATAAAAGAGAATTGAAGGCAAGTCATAGTCCACAGGAAACAATGGGGAACAAGAATTTTCTTACAGTCGAGAGGAGAGCAATTATAGAAGAAAACGCCATAAATTTAAAATAATGCAACACATAAAATTGACTTTTCACTTTATAAGTTGGATTGAATTCACTTTTGATTTGCTATTCAAGGGAGACCGGCTATAAAAATGAGTTTAAAATGTAAGGGAACCAGAGGGCAAATATATTTATTCAATTTGGACCACGGCCAGAACACCAGTAGATGTTAACATCAAAAGTCCTATGAAAAATGACAGTTGTTACACACGGTTATATTATTGAGAATGGAGTCTAAGTGTCTTTTGTCAACAAGTGCCCTGTAACTGGTGTGTGAAGTATTTACTGTAGACTCTCCTTTACTGTCAGTACCTAGCAACATTTCCTTCACTAAGATTGTTTTACCATTTTCATCATAAAGCCCATATTTTAAGGGTTGTAACTGGATGGTGGTTTTAATTTTTGTTTGAAACTTGGCAATTTGACTTAGAAAAACACATACAAATTATTTCAAAGAGGTTTATTTTTGTGGTGAAAAGTAGCTCTCGTCAAAGCTTTTTCTGTGCATTGCTTTCAAACGAAAGTTTACAGGCCATTAGTCCATAATGTGAATTAACCCCATTTGATATTTTTTCCTTTCCTTTAAAATGGTAAAGGACTGTTATTCACATCGGTGAAGTGTTTACTGCATATTTGCTGTAACTGCATTACATTTTTAAAATCTTATTTCTGCGGGACTTTGGCATTATTATTGTAACTGCTCCAGAATGTACACAGATGGCATAATGGATTCAAAGGCGGTTTTACGGGAACATAGGGGCAATCTATGAAGTAAAAATCCATTTCCAGGATGGCAGCATGAAATGGCCCCATTTGACTGCCTCATCTCATGGCACCTTGCCTGAGTAGGGGTAGGTGAACAGTTTAGGGGAAACCTGAATCAGTTCAAATCTTTACCCAGTTAGCTGAATTATTAAGTCTGCTTAAAAACGCAGGAAGAAAAAAGTCTCTTAGTTTTCTCAACTGAACCTTTGTTGTTGACAATAGTAAAAACTATTTCTATATAGTTTCTATTATGTGTTGAGTGACATTCCTCATTGCAGAGGAACAAAGGTGGATGGCCAACACTCCCTTCCCTGAAGGAGCTTAGAATCTGTTGAGGAAAGACAGATTCAGCAACAACTAAGTAAGGTATGGCCTGAATGTCACCACCAATATGGTGAAATTATTTTGGAAACAGAGAGGGAGCCACTGACTGCCTTTTCACTTCAGTGTTTGATCTTTCTTTATTTCTAGAAAGAAACATTTTTTGTTTCTGGGCTTGCTCAGCAGATGCTTCTCTCCTCTTACTCTGTGTCAGCTATTTGTAGTAAGACAGTGTATTCGTTTGCTAGGACTGCTGTAACAAAGTACCATGGATGGTGGCTTAACCAACTCTATTTCCTCACATTTCTGGAGGCTATAAGTCTGAGACCAAGGTGTCAGCAGGGTTGGTCTCTCCTCAACTTTTTTTTTTTTTTTTGAGATGGAGTCTAGATGGAGTCTTAGTCTGTTACCTAGGCTGGAATGCAGTGGCGTGATCTCAGCTCACTGCAACCCCCGCCTCCCAGGTTCAAGTGATTCTCCTGCCTCAGCCTCCTGAGTAGCTGGGATTACAGGTGTGTACCACCACGCCCGGCCAATTTTTCGGTTTTTAGTAGAGATGGGGTTTCACCGTGTTTGTGAGGCTGATCTTGAACTCCTGACCTTGTACTTCGTCCACCTTGGCCTCCCAAAGTGCTGGGATTACAGGTGTGAGCCACCATGCCTGGCCAGGTCTCTCTTCAGCTTCTAAAGGGCTGTCTTCTCCTAGTGTCTTTCGTCGGTACCTAATTTCCTCTTATGCTGACACTGGTCATACTGAATTGGGTCCCATTGTAATGACCTCATTTTAACGTAATTCTTTAAAGGCCTGATACAGTCCATTCTAATACAGTCCACTCCAGATACAGTCCCAGTCTAAGGTACAAAGGGTTAAGACTTCAACCCACCTTCAGTATGAATTTTGGGGGGACACAATTCAGTTCAGAACTGATTATCTACTTGAATTTCTTCATAAATCCCTTTGAACACATTGCATTTGTCTCTGCCAGAACTGGAACACTAGGATGTAGAATTCTGTTGAAGACAGAAATTGGAGTTGCGGCATAGCGGCTAGCTAAAAGATGACGATTTACTCATGGGAGAAATATCCAGTGGGAAGCTCGACTTCTCAACAGGAGCCTCTTTAGGCCTAGATGGACTGCTTCAGGTCACCCTGTTTCTCTCAAAGGGCTGTGGGCAGCCTTAAGTGCCCCAGCCTCCTGAGTTGCACCTGCAAAGATTGCAGTTTTCTTGCTCACCTCAACCGGGTGAAATCCCTCAGTCTCTTCCCCTCTTGAGCCTCACATGCTTTCTTTTCTTTTTTTTTTCTTTCCTTAAACTTTTCAGTTTCTTGTTGTCTCTTTTCTTCTGTCTTTTCTTTAGGCCTTGTGGTAACATCTATAGGCACTTGTGTTTCCTAACATGCCACCCAGAAGAACTAGGCTGCCCCTTTATAAGGTACTTTATAGATTCCTTTTGTCCTTTCACGTGTATAACACAAGTCCTTACAATAGTACCGTGAGGCAGCAGTGGATTGTGCTCATTATATTGAGGAAGAAATTAAAGTTACTAAATTTCCTTGACATTTTCAGATTTAATGCCTGTCACTTGAACTCTTTGCAAGTGATACTAAAGGTAGGTAACGTGTGTGTTATTTTTGCTGATGCCAAATGTGAATTGAACTGAAAGAATATCCAGTCACTTAACTAATGAGTGAGCCAAGCCAACTGCTCCTCACCCACATTGCCACGGGGTCCTGTTCTGTGTTCCCCATCAGTTAAGTAGTTAAACTCATGAACTGGTAATAATTCTATTACTTTGTGAAAAATGGTCTTCAAAAACAACAGCTAGTAATGAAAAGGGTCTTAAAAGGTAGTGTTTTTTAAGCCAGAAAATAAGAGTTTTATAGAAGAAATGATATGCTTTAGTGTATATGGGAATTTGGAGATTTTGGAAAGCCCCAAGATGGGTCCCATTTCAGTTTTCCGCTATATTTCCCAAACTGTTAAAGTGAAAGCAGTCAAGTTTTATCATGAAAGTAGCCCTGTAGTCCTCCCTAAGCTAGTTGA